AGACATCACTCACCATCGAGGGCATCATTTATGTACTTGATCCAGGGTTCTGTAAGCAGAAGAGCTACAATCCCCGCACAGGCATGGAGTCGCTCACTGTCACACCCTGCAGCAAGGTCAGCCTGGGTCCCCATGGGGCAGGGAAAGGCAGAAATAGCCTCTAGGAACAGCACAATTCAGCAATAGGGTGGCCCCACTTAGACAGGAGAAGAGCAGTTTGCATCCTCCCAGATTTTTTGCATAAATATTGCCTTGTTGTCTGTGTTCCCTGACCCTATCATCAGCCAGCTTGCCTGTCCTTCCTTTCCAGGCTTCAGCCAATCAGCGGGCTGGGCGAGCGGGTCGAGTGGCTGCAGGGAAGTGCTTCCGCCTGTACACAGCCTGGGCCTATCAGCATGAGCTGGAAGAGACCACAGTGCCTGAGATCCAGAGGACCAGCCTGGGCAATGTTGTGTTACTGCTCAAGAGCTTAGGTGAGTAGGCTGCACAAGTGCTCCCTAGAGGCAGGTGAATGGGTGAGGCCACTGGTCCATATGTGGCGTCTCTATCCTTTATATCTTTCTCCAGGGATCCATGACCTGGTGCACTTTGACTTCCTGGACCCGCCACCATATGAGACCTTGCTGCTGGCTTTGGAACAACTGTATGCTCTAGGAGCCCTTAATCACCTTGGGGAGCTCACCACGGTGAGATGGCTGGGTGGCACAGGCTGGGACTGGATGAAGCAAGAGATCCCTGGTGTAGAGGGGAACCTGAGGGAAGACTCAACTCTGTCTTTGTTCTCCTTAGACTGGTCGAAAGATGGCAGAGCTGCCCGTGGACCCCATGCTGTCTAAAATGATTTTGGCCTCTGAGAAGTAAGTCTTCCACCTGTGGCTGCAGGGGCCATCTCTTCCTCCTTTTCTTGATCATATTGTCCTTTAGCAAATAACAAAGTGTTTAAGAACTCTTATTGTCCCATTCAAGGCCCATTGTGTAAAATGCTGTCATAGACACATGCCAGTGGCTTACACCTGTAATCCTAACTTCTCAGAAGGCTGAGGATTGTGGTTTCAAGCCATCCCCGGGAAGAAAAGTCAGCAATACTTTTTCTCCAACTAACCAGCAAAAAAGCTTGACTGGAGATGTGGCTTAAGTGGTAGTGGGCTGGGAGAAAGCATGCCAGTCAAGAGAGCAAGGCCGAGTGGAAGCCACAGTGCAAAACAAACACAAAACAAAAACATGCTGTGCTCTGGATCAATATTAAGTGGATAAGGTTGACAGACATAGAAAATCCAGGGCTGTGAATGGAGGTAGGAGATTTCCTTCTGTGAGAGATGGGAGACAGGGCTGCTCCTGGACCACATAGATGTAGCTGTGTGACTCCACCTTGAAAGCCGTTCCTCTGCTGTGGCTGTTAGAACTCTCCCCAAGGCACACAGACACATCTTTCTACAAAGCACCCCCAGACTTCCCTTCCTACCCCTGCCTCAGTGGCCATTATGCTGTGTAATAGGATGATTACATATGCCTCCCCCATCACCATCCCTATAAAAGTACTGCCACCACAGATTTGCTGTCTTTTGTCGCCACTGTCCCAACCAGCTCTTCCCACGTGAGACACATCCACCACAGTGATCAGTCTCCTCTTATTGTATGCCTATAGTTAGGTGGCTTGCTTTGAACTCTCACTGTCTTCCTGTTCAGGTACAGCTGTTCAGAGGAGATCCTGACGGTGGCTGCCATGCTCTCTGTCAACAACTCCATCTTCTACCGGCCTAAGGACAAGGTTGTCCATGCTGACAATGCCCGAGTCAACTTCTTCCTCCCTGGTGGGGACCACCTGGTTCTGCTGAATGTGTATACACAGGTCAGGGCTTGAGTGAGTGGGAATGTGGGAAATGTGGGAGACTATAGTCCTGTTGTATCCTGAAAGTCCCTCCACCTTTCTTTTGAACCATCTTCATCTAGTGGGCTGAAAGTGGCTACTCTTCCCAATGGTGCTATGAGAACTTTGTACAGTTCAGATCCATGCGCCGAGCCCGGGATGTGCGGGAACAGCTGGAAGGGCTCCTGGAGCGGGTGGAAGTTGGTCTGAGCTCCTGCCAGGGGGACTACATTCGGGTCCGCAAGGTCAGTCAGTGTTCTTCAGTCTGCTGCTGTCTGCCCAGAACCCCTGAGGAGCAAGCTCTTCCCCTGAGGCCACACAGCAGTGCCCAGCCTGAGCTCTTCCCCTGGTGGACCATGTGTTCTCTCGAGTTTGCTCTTTCCCAGACCACTAAAGCTTCTCTCAGTGGGGTTTTCACACATTCTTTTCCTTTCTAGTTTTCTGAAGCCTAAACAAGGGTTCCCCCATCTGTCTGACCCCAATGACTTTCTTTTGCCTGCTCCCTAGGCTATCACTGCTGGTTACTTTTACCACATAGCACGGCTGACACGTAGTGGTTACCGCACAGTGAAACAGCAGCAGACAGTGTTCATCCATCCCAACTCCTCACTCTTTGAGCAGCAGCCACGCTGGTTGCTCTACCATGAACTTGTCTTGACCACCAAGGAGTTTATGAGACAGGTAAGGGATCATTATCTGCCCAGGTAATGTGTGTGGCATAGATAGAATGATGACAAACTAAGAACCAAGTTTCTTGTTTCTGGGACTAGTACAGAAAAATACATTATTTTTATGTAGGATTAGATGGAAAGACTTCCTTTTCTTGTTCACTTTTTGTCTGTGTGTGTATGTGTGTGTGTGTGTGTGTGCTATTATTGGGGCTTAAACTCAGGGTCTCTTGCTTTTTTTATTGTTGGTTGTGGGGCTTGAACTCAAGAGCCTGGGTGCTGTCTCTAAGTCTCTTTGTGCTCAGGGCTAGCACTCTACAGCTTGACCCACAGTGCCATTTTCCTTTTTTGAGTGGTTAATTGGAGATAAGAGTCTCACTGGAAGTTTTCTGCCTGGGCTGGCTTTGAATTTCAATTCTCAGATCTCAGCCTCCTGAGTAGCTAGGATTACAGGCATGAGCCACTAGTGCCCAGCTTTTCATTCTGCCACTTGAGCTACACCTCCACTTCTGGATTTAGAGTCTTTCTGACTTGTCTGCTTGGGCTGGCTTCAAACTGAGATTTGCAGATCTCAGCCTTCTGAGTGTAGGACTTTTTTTTTTTAAAATAATACCCCGGGCGCGAAAAAACAGCCCAGAGACACAAAATTTTTGCGCAAAACAAGAGTGCTACAACACGAGACACAAAACATCAAAAGCTTTTTTTTTTTTTTTTGGTGGTTAATTGGAGGTAAGTTTCACAGACTTTTCTGCCGGGCTCAATTCAAACTTGATGCTCAGATCTTAACTTTTAGAGTAGCTAGTATAACAGGTATGAGTCTACCAGCCTCCAGCTTATATACGATTAATTTACTTCATTGATCCTTTCTAGCTGGAGATATTTTACTAGAGAGTAATAACTGTCTCCTAACAAGATCTGATTCAGTTGTTTTCTTCGCTTGGAATTTGAACTTCTGGCCTCCAGCCCAAGTTTTCTTGATTTTTAGAAAATTTTTTCTGCATCTTCTAACACATGTATTTGATGTATTCATTAAAACCATTAATTCAACCATAGCAACACCTGAAGTGAGGTCTGATGCCTATGGTAAGGAAGAATGAACCCACTGTTCATTGGAAACACCCTAAAGACTCTGAGGGGTACCTCTTTTCCTCTTTCCCTCCTCATTTCCTTGTCTTCCTTGTTCCCCCAGACCATTAACTCTTTTTTTTTTTCCCCAAAAATATGGAACACTTGATGAATTTACCTGTCATCCTTGCACAGAGGCTATGGTAATCTTCTCTATATCATTCCAATTGTAGTATATGTGCTGGAAAAGCAAGCACGACCATTAATTTTATTTAGTAGCCCCTTGAAGCTGGCTTCTCAGCTGGGCGCCGATGGCTCACACCTGTAATCCTAGCTACTTAGGAGACTGAGATCTGAGGATGGTATTTCAAAGCTGGCCTGGATAGAAAAGTCCCATGAGACTTATCTCCAATTAACCACTCAAAAAAAAACAAACCCAGAAGTGTAGCCGTGGTTCAATTGGTAGTTCCCAAGCTTTGAGCACAAAACACTCAGGGACAGCACCCAAGCCCAGAGTTGAAGCCTCACAACCAACCAAAAAGCTCATTTCTCTCCATACCTGCCATTCCTTCATTCCCTGTGTAGAGGCCATACAAACCCACTTTCCATCTATTACCAGTTCTTCAACTACTTGAGTTTTCAGGCTCAGCTGCCCTAGGGAACTCCAAAAGACATAATTTCTAACAGCTGGCTTGGTGTCTTCCAGGATCTGAGAACTGTAACTTATATTCAATAACACTTAAATGTGTTTAAATACAAGTGTTTAAGGTGCTTGGATTACAGTGGTAAGTAAAGCAGATGGAGTCTGTCATTAGAGTGTACTTTTAGTCTTTTCATAGCTCCTTCTTAGGGATAACTTACTTGATATTTTGAATATAGAACTATATCTGCACTTTAGGTATGTAATACAGCCAGTACCTTTTTCCCCCAGCCCTGCAGTCAATGCAAAATATATATATATATATATTTTGACCTATACACTTGAGATGTTTTTAGTCTATAAAAACAAGGGAGCCCTGACTGATCTTTTTTCTCTCTTCTAGGTGTTGGAGATTGAAAGCAGTTGGCTTTTGGAAGTGGCTCCCCACTACTATAAGGCCAAGGAGGTAGAAGATCCCCATACAAAGAAAATGCCCAAAAAAATAGGCAAGACACGAGAAGAGCTGGGGTAGAGAAAAGGACAAATGGAAAGAACTTGATACCAGCACCTTTTCTTTCTGTACACTGTTTAATATCTATTAAATAAAATTATTTTGAATAAAGTTTGTGGGAACTTGTGGGATGCACAGAAAGTGACATGAAATTCCATCTCATATCAGTCACTTACACTATTATTTACAAGTCAAGTTACACAGCAGCTTTAAACAGCATGAGATGGAAAGGAAGGACAGAGAACGAGGGGAGGCAGCTGGTCTGGAGATCTTTGGCTGCCTCCACCTCCTCTTGTGCGTAGCGACGTTTTCAGTGCTGCCCCACCTGCCTTCTGGCTCAGGCCTTGGGACATACATTTAGGTTGGGCTCTGGCTCTGACAGCCCTAGAGTCACCAGAGCTCCCACTAGCAGCTTCTTCACAGGCGATGGAGGTGAATGCGAAGGCATCATCTGCAGAGAAAATAGTTAATAGAAGATGAGGAAGTGCACACAGCTGTCTACCCTTCAATCACCCCCACCCAGCCCCAGAACTCACTTTGTCTAAGTGATGACGGCAAATGAGGCCACTGGAATTCAGGTAGAAGGTGGAATAGGCATCGTAGGTCCTGGCAACGGGAGAGACTTTTCTGAGGGAGAAGCTACTGGCCCAGAGCTTTAATTCAACTTTTTTTTTTTCCTGGCGCTTGAACTCTGAGCCTGGGCACTGTCCCTGAGCCTCTTGGTGTTCAAGGCCAGCGTTCTACCACTTGAGCCACATAACCACTTTTGAGTGGTTAATTGGAGATGAGTCTTACGGGAACTTTTCTGCCTGGGCTAGGACCCTCAGCTCCTAGCCTCCTAAATAGCTAGGATTACAGGCATGAGCCACCAGTGCCCTGGCTTCAAGTATTTTTTAAATGAAAACTTCTCTACATAATAGATCACCTGGAGAATGGTTTTTGAGGCAGATCCCACTAATGTAGCTAAGGCTTGCCCTTGAACTTGTAATCCTCCTAACTCAACCTCCTGAGTTTGAATTACAGTCCTGTACTGCCAGGTCTGACCACCTGGGAAACTTAAACATCCCAACACTCAGACTGGCCTCTGAACAATTAAATCAGAAGGGCCCCAATTATAGATTTAAAAGATCATCAGTTGACTGTACAGCAGCTTTTTTTTTTTGTTATTTTTTTCTTTATGTGGTACCAGGGAATTGAACCTTGGGCCTCATGCATGCTAAGCAAGTATTCTACCACTAGGCCACATTTCTAGCCTGTACATCAGGTTTAAGCGCTTACATACAATGTTAAAGGCTAAGCCTAGTAACTTCTTGGGCTTCTACCAGCCAGAAATTTACTAAGTACTTTAAGACTGTGAAGCTCAACTTAGGAATTTTCGTTTGTTCGGTAATTATATGAGAACAACATATGTAAGTGAAGAAAGAAGTTAAAAGGTTTTGTAATATACAAGGTCATTACTTTTGTTAGATTAAATTGGAGTCAAACTATCCCTCTGCACACAGTCCAGGTGAAGCACTACTACCAAACTCCCAAAAGGGTAAGATTACTCTTTTACCTATAAAGCTCCTCTTTATCCCGCTTGTAGAAACGCAGGAAGAGCATGTGGATGGGTAATCCTACAAGCCGCCAGCGGGCTTGCAGTGTCCAATTCTCAGGGTGGCGGGTTAGTTGTAGAATCTCCAACCGAAGTTGTGCAAAGTAGTTCCAAGCCAGGAAGCGACAAAGGGTTAGAGACAGAATATACCATGCCCGGCCTCTGTGAAGAGGAATAAGCAAAATTTTGTTAATGGCAGATCAAAACACCACACTGGCTTCTGTCCAAAGAATGGGGAGAACTTATGAGAAGCAGCATAGAACCTCTCTGGGAAAAGGGTCTAGTGTATAGCACTTCACCCTTTCCTCCCTCACCCCTACCCCAATTCTCACTTGGTTCGAATGTTGAGGATCCCATTGATGAATTCCACATCTGATGAATAGAGAGAATAGTCGTGGGAGTGAAGGAAGAGGTTGGGAAGCTAGGTGGAAGAAGATGGTGTCAACTCAGTGGGAAAGAAAACATGCTATTAGGTTTTAAGCTTATTGTTTTTTTGGTTGGTTTTTTTTTTTTTTTGAGATAGGGCCTTACTATGTAGCTCAGTCTGGCTTTGAACTCCTGATTCTACAGCCTCAGCCTCTCGAGTGGTGGTATGGCCTATGCTACCATACCACCAAGTTTGGCTTTTTAGTTTTCTATTTTTTAGGCCTCAGCTTCTGAAGTGTCATCTGATCATATGCTTAACCTCCCTGAGTCCACATGGAAAAGCATCTTTTTCCTCAGGACTGAATTTACTGGACTGTTGTATCTGCCTCATGGTTCTAAGAAAGAATTCACTTCCCTAGCCCATCTCCAATGATTGCCTATATTCTTTCTCACCTTTGAACAGACTTACCTCTTGTCTTAGTTTCTCATACATCACAGCCAGGTGCTCCTCCATGCTAGGATCTCCTGAAGGGGTGGCAGGGGAAGGGTGGGCAGTTCCAGGGGCTTGGAAAGGTATCAAAGCCCCAGGAGGTCCCTCAAAAAGGCTCCTAAGCCCATCAAGGCATCCATTGTGCAGTTCAGGTCCTGGACCCTCCTCCTCCTTTTCTGGAGGGAGAACCACCCATGATGAGTTGAGGGTCAGGACCTGAGAGAGAGGAAGAGGGAAAACCTGGGAAGGAGACCGGGTTGGAGGATGTGGGGGTGGAGGGGACCAGAAAAGAGGAGAAGATGGAGAAGTAACTGTTGTAGAGTGGGGCCAGAGGGGTGGGAATGGTAGAGTCCGTGGAGAAAGCTGATCCTAAGAAAACAGAAGGGAAAGGAGAATTCAAATGCTTGAAGCTTCTTTATTTAAGCTATGCTTAACAGGCTTCCAATTTAATGTACATTACTATTATCATTAGTATTATTATGTCTAAATAGTTGTACAATGCTAGACATTGGTGGTTTATACCTATAATCCTAGCTACTGATATCTAAGGATCACGGTTTAAAGCCAGCAAGAAAATCTGTGCGACTCATCTCCAATTAGCCACCAGCTAAAACTGGAAGTGGAGCTGTGGCTCAAAGTGATAGAGCGCTTAACCTTGAGTGAAAAAGCTCAGAGACAGCACCCAGACCCTGTGTTCAAGCCCCACAACTGACATAAATAATTGTAAAATGGGGCTTCAAGCCGGGTGTTGGTAGCTCATGCCTGTAATCCTAGCTACTCGGGAGGCTGAGATCTGATGATCGTGGTTCAAAGCCAGCCCGGGCATCAAAGCCTGTTAGCCTCTTATCTCCAATAAACCAATAGAAAACCAGAAGTGGTGCTGTGACTCAAATGGTAGAGTACTCACCTTGAGCTAAAGAGCATAAAGGCAGAGCCCAAGCCTAGAGTTCAAGCTCCACAACCATCACCAAAAAAACACGGGGCGGGGGAAGCTTCAATGTCCAGTTATGTATGCAATCATGTGTATCTTTTTTGTTGTTTTTCCAGTCCTGGGGCTTGAATCAGGGCCTGGGCACTGTCCCTGAGCTTCTTTTGCTCAAGGATCGTGCTCTACCACTTGAGTCACAGTGCCACTTCCAGCTTTTTTAGCTTATGAGGTACTGAAAGTGAACCCAGGGCTTCATGCATGTTAGGCAAGCACTCTATCACTGAGCCACATTCCCAGCCCCTCATATGTATCTTGACCAGTGTCACCTCTTCCATCATTCTTCCCCCTCTCCACCTACTGCTCTGTGTGTGTGTGTGTGTGTACTGTGTGTGTGTGTACTGTGTGTGTGTGTGTGTGTACTCTGGCTTGAACTGAGGGCCTCAGCACTGTCCCTTAGCTGTTTTTGCTCATAGCTAGTGCTCAACCACTTGATCCTCAGCTCCAGTTTTGGCATTTTGCTAAACTGTAGATAGTAGTCTCCCAGACTTTACTTCTCCAGCTGTTTTTGAACAGTCATTCTCAGATCTCAGCCTTCTGAGTGGCTAGGATTACAGTTCTGAGCCTCTAGTGTCTGGCTCCATCTACAACTTGACATAAAAGATGGAATTACTAAAGGGAAAAAAGATGGACTAATTACCTCTGCTGCAAACAAGAGGAAATAAGTTTCATAAAACACAAGCACAAATATCTCCCCCAAGTGTTAAGGCGCACCCTTACACCTAAACTCTCAACCGTTTGGGGCCAGTTCCACCTCTCTTGATAGCAAGAATCCTAAGAATGCCTGTTTCGTTACACTGTGGATGAAATGATGTCGTGTACAACACGGAGTCCATGAACTGTGAGGCAAGTGTAGAAGGTAGAGTTCCAGTTCTCTTGTGTAACCTTCCACACTCATTCCCCATGCCTGTTTCCTATAAATGTCCTCGTATAATGGAGGACAATAAAGACTCACTGGGTTATTATAAGGTCTATAAGAGATAATGAATGTATATAAAACGTTGAGACGACTGTTAAAGGTGAACTTTATCTTTGGTTAATCGACGTTCAAACTGCGAGCACCGGAGGTCAACCAAAGTCAATCGGGACCCGGCTCCCAAGGAAGGAAGCCCTGGGGGCGGGTCGTGCGGGTGCCTGGGTACTAGACCGCGTCCTAGAGGCCCTTTCTCGGCCGGGGGCGTGGCAATCTTGACAGCCGGGGACCGGGGTCCCAACCGGGTCCACCGAGGCGGGCTCTCTAGGTGCATGGGGCGCGGGCTGCACGCCAAGGCCCGCGGTCCTGGTCCGAGATGGGACATTGCGAGCGGCGCGGCGGCCCAGCGGTTAACCTCTCCACCCCTGCCCTTCAAATCACCTCCAGGCACAGGTAACCGCGGAGCCGCGGCGCCGGCGGACACGCCCCGCTGCCCTACCCCGCCTGCCCGTCTTCAGCTCGGCAGAGCCGCCAGCCCTCCCTCTGCGCGGGCCGGGCAGCGCCGCCTTCTCCGCCCGCACGACCCCGGGCCAGTCCACGCGCCTCCCCGAGCAGGTGGGAAGGGGCGGCCGGGTGCCACTGCGCCTGCGCGGGACCCGGCACGCTCCGCCCCACGCACCGGCTCCGTGGAGGGTCTCTCCCCGCCCCCTCGTCTCCGCTCCCGCTGCTCTGCTCTCACCTGGGGTCGAGCCTGGTAGGCGCGGAGGCAGGGGCCAAGACGCCGGGCCGCCCCCCGACTGGGATGGTACATGATCTTCCGGGAGTGGAGTGGGCGCCTCCCGAGTCCGGCCTCCGGCCTCCTCACAGGGGTGAGCGCGCCCGGGACCCGGCTTCGTGAAGGGGAAAAGTGGGAGGGGGGGGGGCAAGGGCCTGAGGAGGGAAACGGAGATGTTGCGCGCTTGCGTACTGCGGACTCCAGGCAGGCAGCTGAGCGCTCAGTCCGCCCTGACTGCGCTTGCGCTAGTCGGACCGGAGGTTGTCCTAGGGCGCTTGCGCAATACGCCCTGCTTTTTTCCGCAAGCTGTGGCTGAACGCGGTGAAATGAGAATGAAGAGTGGGTGTGACGGAATTAATGACAGTCTCCTTTTTTAACAACTCATGATTGAAAAAATAAATTCTTTATTGCTCTGGTTAAAAATAAGATACACATGGTTCAAAGTGCATAAGAAAGTGGTGAAAGGAGTGAACGAATAAATCCATAATGAAGATTTCGGCTTGCCTGTATCCTTTAGTGAAGGAAAAATTATACTGACTTTCAAAGTGTGGGGAGTGGGGCGCCTGTGCTCACCAGGGCCTGGTGCCGCGAAATTCATGCAAGTTTCGAATGAACCTGGCGTTGAACATGTCCCTACCCACTGTCCAGGACGGGGCTGGAGGAGACTGGGCCTGTGGGGCCTGTGAGGCCTGTGGGGCCTGTGGAGTCTGGGCCTGTGCCTGTGGAGGAACTGTGTGCGTGGGTTCCTCCGCAGACCCATCCTGTGACAAGACCTGCTTCTGATTGGCAGACCTAGTGGGCGGGGAGAAGAGCGAGTTATGGAGGCACTGATGTGGAAATTCAGATTAGGTACCAAATCTTAATGTAGAAGACACATGGTGGATATGCAACCAAAGAATTACTACTGTGTCCCAACTTAACCCTTGAGAAGGGCAAAGCGAAGCACCAGACTTCCACCTATGGAGAGAGAGGCTTGGACCGTGTTAGTTAGGACTGTGGGAGAAGCTGTTGTCCAAACAGTAAGATTTAGGAGATGCAAATAGCTGAGAGTAATGTTAGTCAGAAAGTGTTGGGAGTTGTTTCAGGAGGGCTTTAGACCTCACCTATTCTCTGTTTCCCGTTCCCCCTGCTTCGATCCCTGGTTGCCTGTGGAAATACCAGGCATGTGCATGGGGAGATTGGAGTAGACTGTGTTTGGCTTACTTGATTTGAAAATAAGGAGGGATGAATACTTACCTTTATTGAGGGATGTGGAATTGAGTCCCCCATGGCGGCTGTAGCAGCAGCTTTGGGCTACCAGCCCTGGGGAAGTCCCCCTGTAGAAGAAATGGGAGATGATGGGAAAGAGGCTACAGGATGAAAGATGGGTGGGTATGAAGGAAAAGAATAAGAGAACTAGCACAGGAATAAAGAGAAGAGAGTAATTATCATTGCTAAGGGGCTCTAATCTAAGCTTTGCCCCAGAAAAGTGGAGAGGTATCCCAAGATTTCATGAAGTAGTCTGGTTTCCCTGTTCTAACTGAGGTAATGCATAGTGTGATCTAAGCCATGTCATTTAAAAAGAAAAAAAGAAGCCAGGCACTAGTGGCTCATGTCTGTGATCCTAGCTACTCAGGAGGCTGAGATTTAAGAATCATAGTTCAGGGCTGGAAAGGTGGCTCAGTGGTACAGTGCTTGCCTTGCATGCATGAGGCCCTGGTTTGATTCCTCAGCACCACATAAGCAGAAAAAGCTGGAAGTGGCTCTATGGCTCAAGTGGTAGAGCGCTTTCCTTGAGCTGAAGAGCTTAGGGACAGCACCCAAGCCCAGAGTTCAAGCCCAGGACTGGCAAAAAAAAAAAAAAAAAATCATAGTTCAAAGCCAGCCTGGGCAGGAAAGCCCATGAGGCTCTTATCTCCAATTAGTTATCCCCACACACACAAAAAAAAGCAAGAAGCGGATCTGTAGCTCAAGTGGTAGAGTACTAGCTTGAGCCAAAAAGCTTGGGGACAGTGCCCAGGCCCTGTCTCCAGGACTTCAGGACTAGCATACCCACAAAAAGAGAATCTGTTGGGACTTGCTGCCTTGATGTTTGGTTTGGTAAACATGATTACCATAAGTGTAGGATACCTCAGAGTAGAGGGAAGTAGCGACTAACAAAACCAAATATAGGAGGAAAAGGAGATTTTGCAGAATGACAAATGGACTATCAGTGGAAACAAGGGTTTGGCTTGAGAGAGACAGCCAAGACATCAGAGAGTCAAAGAGTAGGAAGAGGAATCCAGAGAACATTAGTGGATCCCATCCACTCAGGACATCTCAGGATAAAGACTGGTCAGGATGAAGGAGAAGCTACTGAGATAACTGGAGGAGTGGATATAGAAGCCTACCTAGAGTTATCTGATCGCTCTCTTGAGAGGAGACCCAACCTGCAAGAGACAACCAGCGAGTGACAATAAGAGAGGCAGACAGAAGATCCTGGAAGAGGAGTGCTGAGGCTTCGTGGAGGAAGATCTGAAGATGTCAGAAAGAAACATAATGAGAAGGACAGAGGTCTTGAGACCCCAGGAAAACAAGGAGTGGGGCACAAATGAGGCTGACACCTTAAATTCTTTTTTCTTTTCCTTTATGGTACTTTTTTTTTTCCTCGTTGAAAATGTCAATTTAGAAAACACGAAAGAATTCACACTTTATTTAGACAACACACAGAGGGAGAAGAAAAGGGAAGAGTAGGGAGAGGGAGATCCTGCTCCCAAGGATTAAAAAGGGGCACATTGGGGTACCTGGTCTACCATACATTCAAGGGTGGGGAAGGAAGGATCTCTCTATATGCAGGGCATGGAGCAGGGAAGGAAGTCTGGCTATGAAGGAAAGAAGAGAGGAAGGCCAGTGAGGAGTGGCCCCTGTCTCATCTCAAGACAATCTCACAACACAAGAATGTATTAGTATATCTACCAGGGAGGGGTGGGCATGAAGGGGATTTCAGGATTTAACAGATCTTTGAGACCCAGGCCTATCTACAGAAACACGACTAAAAGTAACCCCAAGGAGCCAAGTGCTGGTGACTCACACCTGTAATCCTAGCTACTCAGGAGGCTGCCAGCCTGGGCAGGAAAGTCCGTGAGACTCTTTCTCCAATTAACCACCAGAAAACTGGAAGTTGTGCTGTGGCTCAAACGGTAGAGCTCTCACCTTGAGCAGAAGAGCTCAGGGACAGCGCTCAGGCCCAGAGTTCAAGCCTCACGACCACCACCAGGCAAAAGTAACCCCAGAGTTTTTGCTGGGATCTCCTGTCAAAAACAAAGTCCTTCAGAGAATCTGGATCTGGGGGAAGCAGTGGTGTCTCCTTTAGAGACCTCAAAGCAACATCAGCTTAGTGGTTCCCTGGCATATACACACAATACGTGGAAATGAGGAGTTTGGCAATGTTGAGTGGACTCCTTTGGGGAGCCAGTACTTGTCCTACCTGACTGGGCGGCTCTGAAGAAGAGCTCGCTCATTGGCTGGCACCAGCAGGCTGAGAGAGTAATAAGTGCAGTAGGTGGCATAAAGCAGTATTAGAGCCACCAGTGGCCACTGTAGAGGAAATTGGGATTATTACATGGACAGAACTCCTTAAAAGGTTTCCCTGGAAAAAGAAGGCGCTTAGACCTTCCATAGTGGTCTGGAGTCTGCTGGCAAGCAAGTGTGCTTCTCTAGAAACTAAGTAGGAGCCACCGAGGCGGGGCGTAGGGGTCTGGCAACAGATTGGGCTGTGGGGGAGTGTTCAGAGCCCAGGTTGAGAGAACAAGGGTTCGTTCCTTCTATGATAAGAAAAGCTACAAAGTATTAGGCTATTTGGGACCCTGACAACCCAGTTGTCCAAGGAAGGGAAAGGACTCTGACGGGTCCTGTCAGGTTCCACTGGGTCCTGAAGGATGCAGTAGAAGAGTGGGTCAGGTTCTCGGGGAGAAGGGACTCTGCCCAACCCCAGGTCTCCCATGGACACAGAGGGAAAAAGGGGGGAGGATGGTCAGTATCGGCTCTCATCAGAACGGGGAAGGGAGCTATGGAAGGATGTTATGGACAGGAGGAAGGGAGAGGGAAGATGGGGAGAGAGAAAAACAGAGAAGTCAGAGTTGAAGAAGTACAGAGAAATAAAGAAGAAGCCCACCTCTTGCTTGCTGGGAAGGGCTCTTGGCACAAGGCATTGGCCTTGGAACCCAAGGGCTCCCAATCTGTGCGACACAGTCCCCATCCCCACAAGTGCTAAACCCACATCCCTTGTCCTTGAAGGCTGGGGGTGGGGGGGCACCCAGTGGAACTCAAGTCTTCCCATTCTGCCATACAACCCTCTCACCAACACCAATATCTCCTTTGTTCTTTTCCCCAGAGCAATTCCACAAATCTATGTAAATGTATTTTTCTTGAAAAGATTGTAAAACTCTTCCCATCCACCAATCATTGCTTCATACTTCACATTTCTGATAGATTCCAGTGAACCTCCTCTGACAGGCTTGAGGCTGGCCAACTGAACCCTCCAACTCCTATTACCTGGTGCGGCGACGCTGAGCGGGGCTGCCCCCAGGGTCGGTGGCCAGCAGCAGGCGGGCAGTAGGGTGGGGAGGACAGAGGCGCAGAGAACGCAGCAGCTCTTGCTCTGGCACAAAGGGGCGGAGGGGACCCCGATCTGGTGAGTTCCCCAGGCTGCTGGAGCGTGGGGGTGGGTGCGTTGGAGGTGTGGCACGGCGAGGGGCCCTGTTTAGGGGCCAAGGGGGCTCCACAGCTACCTTCAGAACTGAGGAGAGGAATAAAAGGCAGGACAAAAGAAAAAGAACACAGAAAAGTCATGACGGTAAGGATTAGGAAGAAAACACATCAGTTTTTTTGTCGGTCGTGAGGCATGAATTCAACTTGGGCCCTCTCCCTCAGCTCTTCAGTTCAAGGCTAGCACTCTACCACTTGAGCCACAGCACCACTTCTGGCTTTTTCTGTTTATGTGGTGCTAAGGAATTGAACTCAGGGCCTCATGCATGTGAGGCAAGCATTGTACCACTGAACCACCTTCCCAGCTCACAGATAGGTTCTTTTAAAAAGCATCATCCTGGGCTGGGAAGGTGGCTCAGTGGTAGAGTGCTTGCTTTGCATGCATGAGGACCTAGGGTTCGATTCCTCAGCACCACATAAGCAGAAAAAGCCGGAAGTGGGGCTGAGGCTCAAGTGGTAGAGCACTAGTCTACAGCTGAAGAGCTGAGGGACAGCGCCCAGGCCCAGAGTTCAGGCCCCACGACCAAAAAAAACAAAAATAAAAAAGGCATCATCCTTCTCTAAGCACCCTCTTTCACAGTGTTAAGATCCCTAGCCTGGGCTGGGAATGTGGCTTAGTGGTAGAGTGCTTGCCTAGCATGCATGAAGCCTTGAGTTCCATTCCTCAGTACCACATACACAGAAAAAGCCAGAAAAAAATAGCACTGTGGCTGAAGTGTTAAGAGTGCTAGCCTTAAGCAAAAGCAGCTCAGGGACAGTGCCCAGGACTGAGTTCAAGCCCCAGGACTGGGGGAAAAAAAAAAAAGATCCCAAGCCTGTTTACCCTACCCCAGCCCCTCTTACATTCTCGGTCACTGGAGGAGTATGGCTTAATCTCTCCTTCTGCCCTCTTGGGTGGCAGCTTCCTTGCTGGAGCTGGGGGGAGTGGGGAGCAGACAAAGGGAAGCATTAGAAAATATTCTTTGCACCCCTCCGCCCCACCACACCCCACACAACCCCAAACCTCTGCTCCCTGACACCACAGTTCCTTCTGGGAATGCCATCACAGAAGCCGTGCTGTGGCAAAGCCAGCACACCAAAGGAATTGGGGGAGGGGAATGCTGGAGCACTTTTGGGGAGAGCCAGAAGGAGTAGGCCAAACACAGTTACAGGAGAAAAACCCAAGGGGAGACTGGGGGCCTGGGAAATGCGGGGAAAGGCGGCCGAGGGGAGGTGAGCTCTTACTGTCCGTGGGTGCTGTCAGGCCCCCCTGGGGTTCTGGGGCAGTGGAATGGTCCCAGCTAGGCCAGCGAGGACCCTGAATTCCTCTAGATGAGATGGACAAAGTCCTTGGTTAATTGGGAAATGCTCTGGAGAGGTAGAGGGGGGTGGGGTAGGGAAAACCTCTCCTTCCTGGGCAAAAAAAGATGTGGAGAGACTAAAATTTTATCAAGCTAAGAAAAAAAAAGGGTGAGGGAAAATTATAGGCATCTGCAAAGTTGCTCTCTGTATGTGGGAGCTGACTGATGTGCTGGCCAAGGCTCAGCCTCCGGCTTCCTCTTAGGTTCTCTACCACGTGAGACAGAGCAGCCCTGTGGGCTGATTGGCTGAAGCCTTCACCAGGGCGCTCCCCGCATCCCCGCAGCCTCACTGTCCTCCCTGCCTGCGCAGGAGCACACAGGTGCCGCTCTGGAAACCAGCAGGGGCAGGGATATAAAGAGCCTTTCAGTGTCTGATGCCGGTAGATGCTAACCACAGGCCACGCACTGTTCTCTCTCTAGGTTAAATATTACTCCCTTCCCTGGGGACAGAGGAGGGTGAGGGCTGGCTGCAAGGACAGCCCAGGCAGGGGCCCTTCTGTGCCAGCAAGCACTGCACAGCCAGTGAAGGCTGCACCACTCTCCTGGAGGCTGTATTGAGGGGAGGAGGAGGGGGGCTCAGGCTGGTAGATGGACATGTGAGTGTGCAAATGGGATGGAGAACCTATACAGTGCTGCACGTTTGATTTCTCCAGGTCAATTTTCATTACGTAGTTTAAAATGTTATAAGGCAAACACTGGTGGCTCATGCTTGTAATCCTACTCAGGAAGCTGAGATCTGAAAATCATGGTTCAAAGCCAACCTAGGCAGAAAAATCTATGACAGTCTTATCTCCGACCAACTAGTAAAAGCCAGAAGTGGAGATATGGCCCAAGTGGTACAGTGCCAGCCTTAAGCAAAAGAGCCAAGTGAAAGCCCTTAAATTCAAGCCTAAATACAAAAAAAGTTACAAATATTGAGTGTTATCTTCTCAAACTAATATTTCAACTGTGGACCATTCATGTCACTATGCCAAGTCTGGAAATGGAAGGACTGCTTGATTGGCCAGTCCCTGTCTGGCTGAGAGAAACCTGAGCCATTTACAAAGGAAAGCGACTGTGGCCTACTTTGAGGACCAAAGCAAGGGATTCCATTCACATCAAGCCTTAAACAGGTTCTGAAGAGCTTGCTTCATTAAAAACCTGGCCTCTTTATATGGGGCTGAGGGTGTGATCTATTGGTGCAGCTCATTCTTTAGCATGTGAGAGGCCCCTAGGTCCTTGACAAGGATAAAATACACAGTGTTCCTATGAGGGCAGAGCCAAACCAGGATATGACTGCTGGCAACCTGGGTTGCTCTGAGCTTTTCTGAAATTGCCCACAAATAGCACTGCTGGAGCCTCTAGCGAAATCTGCCATCACTGTACTACAGTTCTACCCATTCAATGCAGGCTTTACCAGCAGGTGTGGGGTCGAGCGCAGCAGCACGAGAGTGTCGAGTTGCCCTCAGAGAGGGAGCAGGGGGCCCTGTGAGGAAGGAAGCGGCGGTGGCCCTCAGTGGGGGCCAGTGGGACCAAGAGCCCACTTTCCTTCCCCTCTTCCCAGCTATGGAACCAATAAAAGGTGAGAAGACTTACGGTGTTGATGGGCAAAGAACCCTTCAAAGATCACAAAGTTGTTCACCTAGAAGATGAAGCAAATAAAATATAATTGCCCATTCAACCACTCAGCACTTACTTTGTTTCAGAACTTGTTCCAGAAAAACAAGGAACAAAAGCCAGTTCTTGTCGTTAGTGACAGATCAGTCAAAATCCCAGACCCAGCAAACAGATCCTAAATTTCATGTCCAGCAAAAAAAAAAACACCTCAGATAGTACTTAAGCAAATTGTGTATAGGGTGAGTGCGTGCATGTTTGTGTATGTACCAGTACTAGGGCTTGAACTCAGGGACTTTTGCTCTCACTTGGCTTTTAGCTCAAAGCTGGCACTCTACCAGTTGAGCCACACTTACTAGTTAATTGGAGTCTCAAGGATCTGTCTGCTTGAAACCTTGATCCTCAGGTCTTAGCCTCCTGTATAACTAGGATCATAGGCATAAGACACCCGTACCTGGCCCCAAATAGTTTATTAACAGGATAAAATAGGCTGGAGGCATGATAAATCAAGTAATAGACTGTCTATCTACTAAAGGGTAAGGCCCCCTTGAATATAAAGCAGAATACCAGAGAGTAGTTAAGTATGAGTAGATCAGAGCAAGTGTAAAAGTACCCAAGCTCAATATCAGTGCTGAAAACCAAGTAAATAAATAAAATTTGTATGCCTCAAACATACTATCAAAAGGGGCTAGGATACAGTTGAGAAGGTGGCTCAGTGGTAGAGTGCTTGCCTCGCATGCATGAGGCCCTGGGTTTGATTCCTCAGCACCACATAAGCAGAAAAAGCCAGAAGTGGTGCTCAAGTGGTGGCTCAAGTGGTAGAGTGCTAGCCTTGAGCTGAAGAGCTCAGGGACAGCACCCAGGCCGAGTTCAGGCCCCATGACCAGAAAAAAAGCGGGGGAGGGCCTGGGAATGTGGCTTAGCAGTAGAGTGCCTGCCTAGCATGCATGAAGCCCTGGGTTCAATTCCTCAGTACCATATACACAGAAAAATTCAGAAGTGGCACTGTGGCTCAAGTGGTAGGGTGCTAGCCTTGAGCACAGACATGCTCAAGGACAGTGCCCAGGCCCTGAGTCTAAGCTCCAGGACTGGCAAAAAAAAAAAAAAGGGAGGATTGGGTGGGGGGTAGGGGGGGATGCTGGGAAGGGATGTGAAGGGTAAACAAAGGAGGAGGCTGCAATGCTTGATAAGAAATGTATGCATTATCCTGCCCATGTAATTGTAACCCCTCTGTACACAAAAATAAAATAAATGTTCACAAAAATAAAATAAAATTAAATTTAAAAAAAAGCTGCAATACTGTCAACAAAGTGAAAAGTGAGGCATGGTGGCTCTTCCATGTAATCCCAGTACTTGGGAGGTTGAGGCAGAAGGATACTGAGTTCAAGGTTAGCCTGTACCACATAGCAAGACCCTGTCTAAAAAGAGACAAGGGGGAAAAAAAGGAAGTGAAAAGGCAACCCATAGAATGGGGGGAAATTTTAAGTGTGTTATATCTAGAATATAGAAGGGTGTTATATCTAGAACATATAAAGAACTTTTACAGAAAATGCAGTCAAGAATTCAATGTATATCCTACAAAATTAAGAAAAGCGAGGGGCTGGGCATCAGTGGTTCATACCTTCATCCTAGCTACTCAGGAGACTCAGATCTGAGGATCAGGAATAAAAGCCAGCCCAAGCAGGAAAGTCTGTGATACTCATCTCCAATTAACAAGCAAAAAGGCCAAAAACACTATATGGCTCAAGTGGTAGACTGCCAGCCTTAAGCAAAAAGGCTTTAGGACAGCCCAAAGCCCTGAGACCAGTGCAAAAAAAAAGAAAAGAAAGAAAAAAATTTAAAGCAGAAACTCTTGAAGACATGGCTAACCCAAAACCAAGTAGCTATGATGGGTAGAGTTGGGCATCAACCACTAGACTTCTGCTTTAAGTTGTAAAGTTTCAGCTAAGAATACAGTGTAGAAATTAAAGAGTGAGCTGGAAATGTGACTTATCGGTAGAGTACTTGCCTACCATGCATGAAGCCCTAGGTTAAATTCCTTAGTACCACATAAACAAAAAGCTGGAAGTTGCACTGTTGCTCAAATTGGTAGAGTGCTAGATTTGAGTAAAAGAAGCTCGGGGACAGTGCCTAGGCCCTGAGCTCAAGTCCCAGGACTAGCAATAAAAAAAAAGAGTGTCGGCTCAATGGTAGAACACTTGCCTTCCATGCACTAGGACATAGATTCAATCCCTAGCACTGTGCATCTGCAGTCCCAGCTGCTCTAGAGGCTAAGGCAAGATGATCCATTGAGCCTAGGAGGTCAGGGGTAGCTTGCACAACAATAGTGAGACTGTGTCTCAAAAGGTCAGTAGATGGGTACTGATGGCTACTCAGGAGGTTAAGAGCTAAGGAACACAGTTCAAAGACAGCTCTGGCAGAAAAGCCCCTGAGACTCTTTATCTCTAATTAACTACCAAAAATCCAAAATAAAGCTGTGGTTCAAACTGGTAGAGCACTATCCTTGAGCACAAAAGCTCAGAGACAGCATCTAAGTGCTTAGTTCAAGCCCCAGGACTGCCTTTCCCTCTCTTCCTCCTTAAAAAAAAAAATAAAGTAGATCAAATCTGGGCCTCTACCACTTATTAGCTGTGTGAAGGTGGTCAAGTTCCCAAATGTATAAACCCAAAACAAGGTTAATAATAACACCTACTTCAAAGAGATGTGTAAGAATCGACTGAAATGATGCAGGAAGATGCTACTCAGAGCTCACAGAAAGCTATCTACTATCTGCAGTCTTCACTGCTCTGGCTTTCCTGCAAAGTGGCTATGTGATAGATGACAAATACTGCTCTCCTGCTCTCTGCTGCCTCCTAATGGAGAAATGCACTGTGGAAGGACTTTCTCAGTATACCCTGCCTAGACTTTGCTGTCATGTCTACCAGTCTACCCTCATCTTGGCCTACCACTCAGGTCACCAGAATAGCTAGGAGTGCCTTGGAAAGGTGGTTTAATTCCGGCCAGGGATAGCTTTGAACTGCAATCCTCATATCTCATGGTAGAGTAGCTAGGATTACAGATGTGAGCCACCAGCACCCAGCTTCTTCTGTTGGTTTTTCTATGTGGAAAACACTTTAACCTGCATACTTTGACCACCTAACAAGAATTCACCTTTGTTTTGGGGGTACTAGAGTTTGAACTCAAGGCCTACTTAGGCAAGTGCTCTACAACTTGAGCCATGCTAACCATCTTTTTTGTGTTTGTGTGCCAGTCCTGGGGCTTGAACTCAGGGCCTGGGCACTGTCCCTGAGCTTTTTTGCCCAAGGCACTCTTATCAGTTGAGCCACAGGACCACTCCCTGCTTTTTCTGTTTATGTGGTACTGAGGAATCGAACCCAGGACTTCATGTATGCTAGGCAAGCACTTTCCCAGCCTATTCCCAGCCCATCTTTTTTTTTTTTTTTTAATGTTGAACTTGAGGCCTGAGTGCTGTCCCTGAGCTCTTTTTGCTCAAGGCTAGTGCTAACTTATGCCCGCTTATCTTTGTTTTTATTTAGTTTAGTTTTAAAAATATAGAACACATTAGGATTACAGATGGCTCATCTACTCAGATTTAGTATGTATGTATACATGTATTTGGATTTGTTTACAGATAGCTCATCTATTTAGATTTACTTAGATATATATACTGCCTCATTGTGACAGTGCTAGGGCTTGAATTCAGGGCCCCTTTTCTCACTTGGCTTTTCCCCCTCAAAGTTGACATTCTGCCACTTGCACATCTGCCACTTGCATATCTGCCACTTGCCACATCAAGCTTTTTCTGGTTAACTGGAGAGAAATCTCTTGATTTTCTGTGCCCTCGCTGGTGCCAAATGGTGATGCTCAGATCTCAGCATCCTGTGTAGTTAGGATTGTAGGTTGGGCCCAGCACCCAGCTTTATTTTGTTTTTGAGACAGGATCTTGTTTTTTTTGGTTACAGGGCTTGAACTCTGGGCCTGGGCTCTGTCCCTCAGCTCTTCAGCTCAAGGCTAACACTTGAGCCACAGCACCACTTCCGGCTTTTTCTGCTTATGTGATACTGAGGAATCGAACCTACAGACTCATGCATGCAAAGCAAGCATTCTACCACTGAGCCACCTTCCCAGCCAGACCTTGCTATCTTTCCCTGGGCAGCCCTTGAACTCCCAATCCTCTTACCTCCATCTCCCAAATGGTTAGATTATGGGTGTACACCATCATACTCCTTTTTTTTTTTTTGGCTGGTTCTTTGGCTTGAACCCAGGGCCTGGGCTCTGTTCCTGAGTCTCTCTGTGCTCATGGCTAGCACTTTACCACTTGAGCCACAGTGCCACTTCCAGTTTTTGGTGGTTAATTGGCGATAAGAGTCTTATTGGGCCGAGTGCTGGTGGCTCATGCCTGTAATCCTAACTACTTAGGAGGCTGAGATCTGAGGATCACTGTTCAAAGATAGCTCAGTCAGGAAAAGTCCATGAGACTCTTATGTCCAAAAAAACAACTCAGAAAAGCCGGAAGTGGCTCTGTGGCTCAAGTGGTAGAGTGCTAGCTTTGAGCTGAAGAGTTGAGGGACAGCACCCAGGCCCAGAGTTCAAGCCCCACAACCGACCAAAAAAAAAAAAAAGAAAAGAAGAAAAAAAAGAGTCTTGCTGAGACTTTTCTGCCTGGGCTGGCTTCAAAACACAATCTCAGATCTCAGCTTCCTGAGTAGCTAGGATGACAGGCGTGAGCTACCAGCACCTGGTGTTCTTAGCTCTTAACTCACTTGACCAGCAACACTTGGCTCAGCAAACCATTTGTTCCCCCTGGAAACACTTTCTTTAACTTTCTAGGTCACTAACTTTTAAACTTCCATTTACTTCAGAAGTCTGTCCTTGGTTGTGTTTACTAGGCCTTCTTTCTGGTCTTTCCCCCCACCCCCACCCCATGGTCTAGTTGTTTTGAAGGAGATAGTTTTGAGACAGGGCCTCACTATGTAGCCAAGCCGGGCCTCAAACTCTTGATCCTCTGCCCCTGGATGCTATCCCAGAGCTAGTGCTACCACTTTGAGCTACAGCACTGTTTCTGGTTTTCTGTTTAATTGGAGATAAGAGTCTCATGGACCTTCCTAAGCTCTGGCTGGCTTCAAACCTCAATCCTCAGATCTCAGCCTCCAGGGTAGCTAGGATTATAGGGGTGAGCGATCTGTGCCAGCTCAAATTTAGTGTTCTTCCCTAACTTCTTAAGAGTGCTCAAGGGCACAAGCAAATACTTTTTCTTTGGCAATATCCTATCTGATTGCTTTAAATATCAGTGCATGCTGAAAACTTTCCACTTCAAATCTATTCCCCAGGGGATCTCCAGGGGAAATACCCCATTGTCTACTCAACTAGACCTATCTATCACAGACCTCTCCTACAGACTCCTTGGCTGAGAGTGCAGCTCCATTGCAGAGTGCTTGTCTAGCATTTGATTCACTCTCTAGCAACACACCAAACACACACAAACACAAACACACACACAGAGCAAATAAATAATATAAATTCAGAGGGCACATGTTCTTTCCCAAGGAAGTCAGATCTAAATCATAGACATATACGAAAACATCTACAGGGCCGTATGCATATATAAACAAAGTATGGCATATGCAGGGAAGGATTCTAATGGTGTAATGAATTCCTTTGAACAACTAGCATACTTTACCAAAATGAATATGAGGAGACTGACCCATGTTTTGTCAGAGGGGGAGATGGTGAAGGGGTGGGGAAAGATGGAAAGAAGAAAGGTAGGTGAATACAGTTATAATATCTGTAGCTCATACTTAAAAACAGAACCAGGTAACTAGAGGACATAGGTGGGGTTGGGCCACATAGGGGAGAATGATGAAAATGTGACATTAATCAAGATGCATTGCATTCCTTTTTTTGACAGTCCTGGAGTTTGAACTCAGGGCCTGGGTGCTGTCCCTGAGCTTCTTTTGTTCAAGGCTAGCACTTTACCACTTGAGCCACAGCACCACCTCTGGCTTTTTCTGTTATGTGGTACTAAGGAATCGAACTCAGGGCTTCATGCATGCCAAGCAAGCACTCTACCATTAAGCTACATTCCCAGCCATGCATTGTATTCTTACACTGACATGTTGGATTAAAAAATCTTTGCACACCTACTTAAATACAATAAAAGAAAAAGAAAAAAGAAAAAATTAAAAAGTAAATAAAAATAAAAATTTTGCCACAATGTTAAATGGGGGGGGGGATAGGAGGAAGGGAGAATCAAGGGAAAGGGATAAGAATAATTGAGCAGGGGAATAATCAAAGTACATCATATGCCTGTATGGAAATGTCACAATGAAACCCCTCACATTGTACAATTACTATTATACTATTAAAAATTTTAAATAATAATACAAAAAAAGCCAGGTGCCAGTGTCTCATGCCTGTTAATACTAGCCACTCAGGTGGTTGAGATCTGAGGAATGCAGTTCAAAGCCAACCCAGGCAGGAAAAAGTCTCATGGGAAACTTTTTTTGTTTTTTCCAGTCCTGGGGCTTAAACTCAGGGCCTGGGCACTAGCCTTGAGCTTCTTTTGCTCAAGGCTAACACTCTACCACAGTGCCACTTCTAGCCTTTTCTGTGTATGTGGTACTGAGGAATCAAACCCAGGGCTTTATGCATGTAGGCAAGTATTCTACCACTAAGCCAATGTCCCAGCCCCAGCATGGGAGACTCTTATCTCCAGTTAACCACCAGAAAACAGGAAGTAGCACTATGGCTCAATGGTAGAGTGCTAGCCTTGAGCAAAAAGAGCTGGGGGACAGCTACCAGGATCCAAGCTGACAAACAAACAAAATCCATTATCTCAATATCTACCCCAAAGCTAACCTAACTACTATCTTACTTAGTGCATCTTCATCCTTCCAACTGTTGAGGCTTTGGAGTCAACTTTAACTCCTCACTTTTTCTCAGGAATTCTCATTTGATTTACCTTCAAAATATTTAAAAATTTCCAGGTACTGGTAGCTTATATCCATACTCCTATACTTAGGAGGGTAAGATCCAAAAGATCATTGTTTGAAACCAGCATGTTCAGAAAAGACTGGGAACCTCTATCACCAAAAGTAATTCGTAAAAAGCCAGGCAAGTTAGGCACTAGTGGTTCACACCTGTAATCCTGGCTACTCAGGAAGCTTAGATCTGAGCATCACCATTCAAAGTTAGCCTGGGCAGGAAAGTCATTGAGACTATTTATTATCTCCAATTTAGCCTCCAAGAAGCCAGAAGGGTATCTATGGCTGAAGTGGTAGATTACTAACCTTGAGGGAAAAAACTAAGGGACAGTGTCCTGGCCCTGAGTTCAAGCCCCAGTACTAGCACAAAAAAAGCAAAAAGCAGACCTAGAAGTATGGCTCAAGTGGTAGAGCTAGAGTAAAGTACATCAGCAGCACAAGTAAGCAAAGCCAGTGTGAGGTTCTGAGTTCAAACCCCAGTACCACAAATAAATAAATGCAACAAAAACAAGATTGATCTTTCTCCCCATTATCTCCTACAGCTCATCTACTACATTCATCCTGATTCATATCACTTTTCTAGACACATCCCCACACTGTGGATTTTGCCCTAGCCATTCTCTCTATCTAGGGATGCTGTCCATCCCAGACACTCTAAGATACTGCCCAAATGATATGTTCAGTGAGAACTTCCTAATAATATATGAACCTGCATTCATATACACCCACATTGGATTACCCACATTGGCACTCCTAATCTGCTTACTTGTTCTCATTTTTCCAGAGCACTTCTCATTAACCATATTATACTTTTCTTGTCTATATGTGTCTCTCCAAACAGAATATGAGCTCCACAAAAGCAGACATATTTGTCTATTTAACTGACTGAAGTATTCTTCGTGCCCACAACAGACACTAAAAATATTTGCTGAATGAATGGACAGCATCAGTAATACATTACTGCAGCTACTTACAAACAAGATCACCTTCCCCGTGATGGAGCAAAGTTTCCTGAGGATAAGGAATGTATATTATTGTAGCCCTCCAATAAATATTGACTTATTAAGTAATGGCTTGTGTAAAAACAAGGTGGTAGAAATGAGCTGAGTGTGCTGGACATGAAAATGAGGCATGCAAAACAACCCGTGATAAAGAACCAAAACATGTGAGGGTGAAATAGCTGTGGGATGCACAATAGTACCAGAAGAAAAAGAGAGTTGTATAAAATAAATTCTACGTGAAGGGAATAAAGAACTCTTGGAAAGCATCACTTTGTTGCCCCAAATAAATGAATTCAATGAAAATGTCCAGTGAGGTTCTATCCTTTGAGCCTCTAACCTGTGGGACAGTAGTCTCCAGGTTGTAGTGCTTATTCAGGAACTTCAGCAGCTTCTGCGAGGGTCGGTCAATGGCCAGTTGGTGTGGTTCCACTCGCTCCTTCTGCAGGGAATAAGAGATTCAGGGTAGGAAGAAGTATCAGAAGAGCATGCCAACAGGAATTCAGGAATTGAGGAGGGAATAGGAGGAAATGGGAAAATTGGGGGAAGGGAGAATAGCAAGGCCCTTGGAAGGACAAGGGACAAAAGAGCTTTTTCTCAGATGAACAAGTGAAGAGATAATGATACCTGTAACATATATTGAAAGAGCTCTTGCCCATGGCCATGACGCTGCAGAGACTCATGGATGTAAAAATCCAGGATACATAGTGGTTCTACCTCATTGTGAGCCTCACGATCATCCTAAAACACAAAGAACAATAAATATCTTTTAGGATCCAGGCATCTTTGCTGCCTTCCAATCTTTAATAATTTTATTCTCTCAATCCAATATAGAAATCCAGCCTCCAGTAACACTCACCAATACAAAGAGTTTCTTGTATCCAACTTTAAGGAAACCAATAATGGCTCCCTTCCCAGCCCTGTAGGATGGAGAAAATAATGAACAAGCTTGTGGCAGCTGTCTAGAAAAGACAAAAAAGTAAAAGAAGGGAGAAGGGCTGTGGGAGGAAGGAATGAGGGTATGGAAAAGCATTATGCACTCACGGTCTGGCTGAAGTGTCTTTGAGCACATAAATAACATGGCGGTTACTTTGCATTCTTGATGCACTGGTGATAGGAGCAGGAAGATGCTGGGCCTGTCAGGGAGATTTTTTTAATTTTTCCAGTCCTGGCTTGAACTCAGGGCCTGAGCACTGTCCCTAAGGTTCTTTTTGCTGGTTGTGGGGCTTGAACTCTGAGCCTGGGCACTGTCCCTCAGCTCTTCAGCTCAAGGCTAGCGCTCTACCACTTGAACCACAGTGCCACTTCCGGCTTTTTCTGCTTATGTGGTGCTGAGGAATCAAACCCAGGGCCTCATGCATGCAAGGCAAGCACTCTACCACTGAGCCACCTTCCCAG